TTTGACCTGGACAGACGTGATCACTGTAAGCGGTTCCCATTGTACTGTAATCTTATAATCCTGAAACGAGCCTGTTCTCTGTTCATTAAGCAGAGTCGATCATTTAGTTCACACATGAATGATTAATGTCATAGTCATGTTTCAATTATGCATGCATAATCATTCCATTTACTATGATAGATATTGTGATTGTGCAGGTTTTATTGTGCCATTGGCCTTTGTTTCTCATTACTTCCAGCTAACTGGAATCACGAATCAGCCAAATGCAAGAGCATGAAGGACTCAAACTGCTGCTGGTTGTTGTTTAGTTCAGGAATCAAGGATCTTCTGTTTTTATTGTTGCTAGGACCGACTCTAAATCATCTCCTTTGTTCATTATAATGTCAGAACCAGTGTTGTGGTCACAGTCAAAATTATTTTCTGCATGACTTATTTCACTGCACCTGTGCACTCCATCTTCAGGTGAGGAAGGACAGACATCTGGTGTCACTGAGTGAACTGACATTTGCATCCATATTCAACAACCTTTTGAGAACATGCCAAATTTGCATCAATAATATGTTAAAGCCTCAGGGATGAAGATACCATTTCCTGTCAAATAATGTACTTCAGAAGTCACATGTCCAGTCAAAGGCCCCAGAGGGGAAAGAAAAACAGCATGGTAGAACATTGTGGAGCAAGCCACTACTACTGCCAGGTTCAGGTTGTAGGTTGCCAGGTTGTGGTAACAGATGGGATGAAATTGTATGTCTGTGTGTGGGTTGTGTGTGTCAAGCAATATGGCAACTTGAGTTACATCAGACAAACATATAACACGCTTGAATCCATGTATGATGATTATTCATAATAAAGGTTGAAGGCCATGCAAATTACAGGAGTTTCCAGAAAATGCAACAAAATGGAAGGAGGCCGGGAGATTACCATAAAATACAGAACACTGATGTGTTGTCAGCTATGCTATAGTGGTAGCAGAGATGCAAGAGGTCTGTGACCTGGCCATACTGGAAGCAATTCAAAGCATGGAAAAGAATGATGAACAACTGGCTCAACTTAAGGAACAAGCTAAACAGAGTAGCTCCATGACTGCTAGTTGAACTTAAGTGGTCCACTTCAAATTAACGAGCAAGAAAAACACAACAAGCACCCAGGTTAAGAAAATAAGGAGCTCAAAGAGAGGATCAGGAAGCAGGAAAGATACAAGATGCTGTGGTGTCTGAAACTTAAAGGTCTGATGGAGAAGAGCGACGAAAACATCAGAGCAGACATTGTGAAACTTCTTAACAAGCTTGTCCCCAAGTGTGCCAGCTTGAAGAAACCATGGACATTGTGCACAGAGTTAGCCGAAAGAAGGGCAACAGACATGTAGTTACATTCTTTGCGCTGAGCTTTATCAAAGAAGAGATATGGTGTAAAGATTTCACCCCTGTGCAAGGAGAGAGGTATATGCTTGGCCGGACTGGGAAACGAGTCTACCACCAAGAACCGCATGGTTACATAGAGGGTCGGTGGATTGGCTAAACAGGTGGAAGGTTTGATATGCATACAGTTCATGCAACATAAGGGCATGGGACTATTTTGGTTATTGTTATCATTGCAAAACTCGTCCCAATTCCAGTTTTGAACTGAAATGTTTAGTTGCACACTTTCATTTGCTTCGCTGAATGTGAGGGGTCTTAAAGACTTGGTTGTCTTTTACTACAAGAAACTGATTCTTCCTTGGATGTGAACTTTTGGACTAACCTGTGGGATGATCGAATACTATTTAGTCATAGAACCAATAGATCTGCTGGTATTGAACTCTGTTTCAAAGGGTTTCCAGGTGATATTATCATACATTGAAAAGACCACTGGTTAATGGCTGTCTTAACACTTGAAAGTCATTTCTTCATTTTACTTAATGTGTATGGTTGATGAATGAATGACCAAAGCAAACAAATGTTGGAAGATGTATCACTAATGCAATCAAGGCTCAAGACACTACACACCGCAGAATTTATTTTAATGGGCGGTGACTGGAATATGACACTTGATGAATAGCGCTCAAAAATTGAAAGTTATCGTTATAATAAGAAGAATTTGACAATTTCTTTGAATTAATTGAATTATTCAGGAATTTACTGATAGATATATGGAGATGTTTAAATCCAGGGAAAAATATTCCTGGTATAAACCTGTTGATTCAGACATGGAGCTTGGCTTGGACATCTTCCACTTCCAAAGTTCCACTAACCAATCACTGTATAATACAAATAAAACCAAAAGGCAGCCAGTGTTGCAGGAAAGCAGAACTGAGTAATGTGCATAAAGAAAATATTAATGACAATTCAAATCCGAATGCGATCTATGTCAAAAGGGACCAGGGTGCATTTTTTAAATCAAGAGCAAAGTGGATAGAGGAAGGAGAAAAGAATATTTCATATTTCAGCAACCTGGAGAAGAGAAGAAAATAAGGTAGTAGCAGGCTTCCTGACAAACGAAGTAGAATGCAAGGACGCTAGAATCATTGAAAAGGAAGCTTTCACATTTTTAGAGTAAGCTTTATACATCTGCATACTCCCTCATTGACTCACCAGCTTATTTGAAAAATCCAACTTCAAACCAAAAATTGTTGTTTCATTCAAAGAAATTTGTGCGTCAGATCAAAAAATAGAAGAATTGGACGGATGATTTTTATAAATTCTTTTGGAAAGATGTCAGAAATGTATTGTTTGAGGCAATGCAAGAATGCGTAGAGAGAAATGAACTAATGCTAAGCATGAAGCAAGGTCTAATTATACTTATTCCCAAGCATGACAAGGATAAAAGGTGACCAGACAATTTAAGATCAATTACACTACTCAACACTGACTATAAATTGCTATCTGGATGTATTGCAGCTGGAATGAAAAAAGGCCTGACGCAGGTAATAAATGAAACAACACAATTTGGTTTTCCCAATCAGAGATCGATTCACAACAAGATAAGATGGTTCTAGACCTGATTGATTGCTGTGATACACTTTGAGAGAGCTCATTGTATTTCTGGATTTCAACAAAGCCTTTGATTCAGTGAAACAACCTTTCATATTGGAAACTTTACATCAGTTTGGTTTTGGACAGAAATTTAGAAATGTAATTCATCTGTTATGTCAGGATACTAATAGTTCAGTACCTTTGGAACATGGAACTTGCACAAGATTTTGTTAGGAAGGGCATTAGACAAGGTTGCAGCAGCTCTCCTTTATTATTTATAATGGTTGCTGAATTACTGTCCATTATGAACAAGAAGAATGGGACTGAAAACATGGACATAAATGGAAGACATTATAATCAAAGTTAAGTCAATTTGAAGATGACACAACATTATTTTTAAAAGATGAAAAACAAATTTGAAAAAAACAAACAGTGCTAGACTCCATTAATCAATTCTCCAATACAGCATGCATGAAATGCAAAACAAATTGTGTTAAATGATCAACTGACAACTGTCTAAGATGGAAAATCTGTCAAAAGCAATTTATCTCGCCTTTTCATGAGAAAATTCTGACGAAATAAACAATATAAATTTCAGTTTTATCTGGAAAAACAAATGTCATTACATTAGGAAAGCTGACATGGTGATGAGTGTGAAAGATGATGGTGTGAATACCTACCACATAATACACCTCTGTGGAACAACAGGTAGATTTTGACTAATAGGAAATCGTTGTTATTATGAGCATGGATGAAAAAAGGAGTATGGGCTGTAATGCATTTGATGGATAGGGAGGGTAATTTTTGTAATTATTGAGACTTTTGTGATAAATTTTATCTTCACTGCCCAACTAAAGAATATTATAAATTGACAACTCTAGTTCCCCTCAAAACAATGATTCAACAGCTTTTGGTGCAATAACATTTGTATCAGAATTAACGTCAATCTGTATTGATGGTATCAACTTAAGTAGCAAGAAGTTTATTAGAGATGTTTTATCAGCACTACCCTAATCAGCTGAAACGACGAGGCAAAGAACATGAGGAAAAGATATTTATCCAATCCAATCCTCCTTAAGGCCAAAGAAATACCATTTAAAATTTTGAATGGCTGACTCTATCCATCCAATCACTTCTTACACAAAAGATTTAATTGGAACAACAACAACGTAGATTTTGTTAGAGGGATATTGAAACTGCAGAGCACATTTTCTTCCAGGGTGAACCTAAGAATTTTGTTTCAGAGCTAGCTGCAATCTAAAGAACCCACTAAATATGATGTTGGTTAAAGCTGGAGTACTTATGAAGAAGAGGGATTTGGATTTTCTGATAGACAATTTAATTACGTTAGGTAAGCACTTTATTCATAGATGTAACTGGTTAAAGCCCCATATCAACGGATAGAAGAATGAACTCTATTACAAGAGCTATTTGCAAAATCTCTTTAATGTATGATGGACAGAATTTCCGGAAACTTTTTCCTCTATTGGACTTGTTTATGTTAGCTGAATAAGACCCCAACGCTGTATTTTGTTTCCCTCCTTTGCCTTTGATACGTGTTTAATAACTGTAACATGCCATAAAGGTTGCACTGGTACTTGAATACTTTGAATAAAAAAATAGCCATGAAGATGAAGGTGTTGTTTGGTCCTGAGCTCAGTCTCTGAATCTGAATTGGTTTAAGTCTGTTGCTTGTTCCAAGGATTCCTTCCTCTATATCATTAGAAAGGTTAATAGCTTGGAAACCTCCTACTTACAACACATTTATCACACCATGATTGTTTCTGTGGTGTCTGTGGTCTTTGAGTAAGCTTTTAACCATGAGGGAACATTCTGTACATCATGGCGGAGCTGACTACAGTGCTTTTAGCCAGCAGAGCTCCTCTGCAAAAAGCTTTGGATTCAGTCAGTAATGGAGATGTTTCAGCTCGAGGATTTGGTAATAAAACATTATGTTGTTCATGTTAAAATGCAAAAATAACTACCATGAATACGGAATTGAGAATCTGCTCTGATGTCATGCATGTACGGTAGCTCAGAGTGACTCACCTATATACAGTGAGGAGTCCTTCCTGTGGACATGGTCATCGATATAGGACACTCCCAGAGGCTGGACAGGTGTTGCTCCAATGCCCAGCAGAACCTGGGCTCCGATCAGCAGAAGGTACATCATGTTGGTGTTGGCTCGGTTGCCACATTTAAACCCAGAGTCTCGGTTTTCTGACCTGGAGATGTTGGAGCAGACGTCCCTGCCGTCCTCAGCGTGCCATGAGTCCCCGGCCTCGTACTCGTACTGATGAGTCAGGAACTCCGGCAGGGCTGATAGCAATGCCCCCAGCGCCATGACGATCCCCCCGCAGCCAATCAGGCGGGGTCTGTGGGCCTTGGCGCCAAAGTAGCTGACAAACAGGATGAGGGCCAGGTTGCCAATTTCGAAGCTGCTGGCTATGACGCCCACATCGGCACTCTGGAGGTTGAAGCGTCTCTCCAGAGTTGTTAAAACACTTACCTGGCAGAGAGAGAGAGAGAGAGGGAGAGAGAGAGAGAGACAGAGACAGAGACAGCAGGTGTTATGAAGTGCTTTTACAACTAGTAGCCATTTATGACTGCTAATTACATCATAACCAACCCACACCTTTTTAAGGCAGATTCATACACTTGATTTTACATACTGTAGTTTCTACTCTATTACTTTCTGTAATTATTCTTAAGGGAATATGAGTTTTGTAAATTTTCCATCCCATTTTAATGTTTGTTTAAAATACTGATGCACATGAGTATTTAGCTTCAGGCGTTATTCAGTAGAAGTAGATTGGAAACGCAGCCATCTGCCACTCCCTCAGAGCTTGTACCAACATCAGCAACCTGTTGATAACACACAGAAGCTGAGATGTTCTGCGGGGGGGGGGGGGCACATCCCCATACTCCTCCTCTCTCTCCCAAAACTACCCTGAGGCGAGCCTGACGCCAGCCTGGGAGAAAGGGATGAGTGCATGTGTGTGACTTCAGGCAACAAACCTCATGCAGCTGTTCTAATTATGCAGCGGGCACAAACACAATCTCACCAGCTGTTTTTCTGGGTGTGTGTAAGCGACGAGCTGGCCCCTTACATCAAATGTGCTCTGGTTCATCTGCAGGACCGACAGTAAAAGGCTGAATTATGTTCAACTTTTACTAATTACTCATCCACAGCAAAAGGTACAGTACGTGTCCCAAGACTTCAGAAGCAATTCAAGATAAAAAAAAAGGAAAATTTAACCATGAACCTTTTTTCTGTACTGCTTATCCTGTTTGTCTTGTCACACCAAACTCCAACAATTTCTAGTTAGCTTTTTTTTTTACGGTTGCAACTAATGATTTTCATTTTCATTATTGATTAATTGTTTGGTCTATAAAATGTCAGAAAATCATTAAAATGCCTGTCACAATTTCCTTAAGCCCAATATGATGGCTTTAATGTTTTATTATGTTTTTTTTCTACCAACAGTTGAGAACACAAAGATATTCAATTTAAAACAAAGACAAGCTCCAAATTCTAACAATTTAGAAATTGGAACAAGGTAATGTTGGCTTGGAAAAATAATCAAACAAATTAATCAATTAATCAAAACAGATTTTTTTTCTGTTGATGAATCAATCAGTTACTCAGCTAATTATTTCAGCTCTAGCAGGTTATATATAGCACTTAGCAGAACAAGACTGATCATTTCTAATTTGTTAAGGATTGTCCACAAGCAGCTCTTACTTAATTTAACCTTACAAAGGGTGTCCTGGTAGAAGCAGACTGCCTCTGGGTAAACTAATACTACATCAAAAATATGTTTATTAAGATGCTATGGATTATATGACTGTTGAAGGAGAAAGAACTAAGTACCGAGCTCTCAGCCTCATCATACATGGGCCTGTCCTTGGTATGTCGCCACCAGAGGTGTCTGGACAACAGTAACAAAGCCAGACAACTGGCAGCCCCCCCAACACACACACACACACACACACACACACACACACACACACACATACACACACACATACACACACTTTCCAAAAAAGGATGAACAATTTATAATTCACTTCTAAAATGGGCGGATGGCTGTCACGGGTTTATTATTCCAACTGTGGAACACTAACCTAGTTCTGTCACCATGCAGCAACACATGAGTGGGGGGTGGGGGGTGGGTTCGTGGGGGGACTGACGGACGTCTCAGATGTTACCACTGCAAGTCTATTAGTTAAAATTATTTAACGTTTACTTTAGCTTGTGTCCACTGTTTGTGCAGAATTATGACAAAGCTGTAATTCACAGCTCCTTGACATCAGAGGCTGTGAGGACACAGTTCAGAGGTCACAACACCTGGACGACAGAGGAAAGATTCAAGCTTGTGGCCCTGAAAGATTTCTGCATGGCCTCCTGGAGAACAGCAGCTTTTCAACACCTATATTTACAGAGATACAAATTGTTGCAGAGAACAGACAAAAGAGAAAACCTGCTGCCCTTTTCAGTTTGTTATGCAGGTGCCGCTGTGCTGACAGTGATGACCTTCAGTCATTAGAGCTTTCTCCTGTGCCAAGGATTTAATTTTTAGTTCAGTTTACTGTCATTTATTTGTAAAATACACGAATAAATAGATAAATAAATAATAATGTGCCACTAAAGACAGAGGAGAAAACACATGCACACTGTGAACCAAGAAAGTGGCTGAATTAAAAAGAGAGAGGCGATAAAAGATGATGACAAACTGTATTTTATACAAGAGAGGATAGATTGTAGTGCTTTTGTCTGCAAAGGGATTTGCTAAAGGTGCACTTTTGGTCCAGGATAATGCTTTAGAAGAGAAAAGTTCCACTGCAGGAAAATACTAATGCACTTTGAATTTAAACCAAAATGTGAAGGTGTACAGTGTCCTGGAGCTCGGCCCACAGGGTTTAGCTTGTTAATATTTTTCTCTTCCAAACAAAAGCTGCTTTAAAATAAAGGCTGTGTCTAATGACAGTCAAACGCTGACCTTTCACCTTGTCCTGAGCTTAAAGAAGCATTTGTAATAATCTACACTATTTACAGTAGTATATAGAGGGAAACTCTAACTTCTTAAGTAAAGGTGTTCTGGCCCTGAGATAAGTAAAGGTAACTTTCAGCCCAATTCTCTTATGAACCTACAATTATTTGTAGTATCAATACACCTATCAGAGCAACTGACTTCAGTCAGGGAACTAACAATCCAGAATACAATGGCATCTTTCATATTCAGGTAGATTTACATTTTACATACGTTATTTTTGTTATCCATGTGAGCATTTGCTGAACTGACATCAATCTAATGACATCAATGCTTAGAATAGCACGTGATGAAACTGTCACAGTGTTAATGAGAAAAAAAATGGAGCAATCTTTTCTGAAAATACAATATAAGCTGCTGTCGCCTCTGTTGTGGTGATCACGTCATCCCCTAGGCCTGTATCCTCCAGTGTCAAAGGCCTCCTGCATTACTGATGGACATGGATGCAGAAAGAGCCGGCAGGTTGGATCAAACCTCTTGACCAGTGTTTCGTAACCCGCTCCCCGGCAGACCATCATTATACGCATATAAAATTCTCCAGCAACAACGTGGAGCCTACGGCCGCTGTGACGCGCTTTGTGTCATGCAGATGGTGCATAGGCCTGATGGATAATACGCAGCAACTCATCAATCAGTGAAAGCACCGCGTTCCTTGGTTACTGGAGGATGTGATTATTTTAATGTGATCAGAATAATATGATTATTTACCGCAGCAGCTGAGGCACCGCATCGTTACTCACTGTCTGCCTGTGCCTGTTTGAAGGGCGCTGCGTTAACCCGATGTTACCTGAGATATACTGAGATACGACGTTCCTTCAGACCGTCGTTGAGGCTGTTCTGTGGAAACTCACCAGATAGGCGCCCACGGTGCCCTGTGCCAACATGAGCGCACATTCCGACACCAGGAAAATCTTAATGTTGGAAAAACACGAGGTCTTCTTCTGGTTGTCATCCTGCTCCGGGTCGTCGGTGCTGCTCCGCTCGGTGCAGATCTGGTTTTTAACCTGCATCCTTCGGCTCAGGCTCCAGTCGGGTTGGACGGCATGAAACTGAACGGGTCCGGTCCGGCGGAGCGCATCGGGTTCTGATGACGAGCTGCACTGCAGAAGAAGTGCGAATCTCCTGTCAATAGCCCGTCTAGGCTGGAATATACAGCGAGAAATGCTGCTGTCCACTCAGCATTACGCACAGTCCGTCAGCGACCTCTCTTCACCGCCTGTCCAGCCAGTGCGTATCGGCTACATCATATTTAAATACGTAGGTTACGCATGTATATGTGTGACGGCTTCTAAGACCCGACGTAGAATTACAGGACGCTGTTTCTCCACATCCGGGATGTTACATCTCCTCCCTCGACTGGTGCCGACTAGTTTTGGTTTCTGAGCCCGGTTCTGATCCGCAGCTCTGCATACTGCAGGCTGTGGTATGTTGCTCCTCCCATTCAAAGACCAAAGCAGGACGAGAGAGGTGTAATCTCTCTCTCCCTCTCTCTCTCTGTTCCTCCCCCTCTCCTTCAACGTGTTTCTCAACATCATCATTTTACCTGTGCACACGTTCAGCTTTTGTCATTGCCACAAAGATGCAACATTTCATCAGTTGACTCACTGAAGTATCCAGCAAAATCCACCACGAGAACAGATCTGCTGGTCGTGTAATGACATAGCACAAATTGGTTTTATTTCTTCTTTGTTATTGCAGCGAACGCAGCTGCTCTTGTGTGTGTTAATGCAGCTGATTTTGCACATGTAATAAATATCTGGAAAAAACCCAAAAACCCGTCCTCATCTATATATATTTATATATTAATACTTATTTCAGCCTCTAATTGTGACTGTGTAGAATTTCAGTAACAGAAAAGATTCATTTTATTTCCTAGTGGAAAAAAAAACAGTTATAATGCATCTTTACCACATACTATTGGCATGATCTGAAATCCATTCAGAGCTGATAGTCTTGCTGATTTAACTTAATGCAGCACACTTTAATTTATAATATGTACACACAGCAAGCACAAGCACAAACATATTCTGGTTAAATAAGTCTCTCAAAAAAAGTGCATTGGCAGCTGCTCCCCCTCCCCCTGCATGCCAGTGTTATGTTATGTTACCGTAATAGTAGCTTTAGCTTAGGTAATCTAGCTTCATGCTTGACTGAAGTGTACTCAGCTGGCTTCAGGATGGTTAAAAATTCAACACTTGCCACACAAGAACTCTATTACACACATCAGCGGCCCACTGTGTTGTACTGCTGTAGCTGTTCTACATGAAAACATTCACTATTAAGTAGTATTGTATCAGCGTGGACAAATGCTCAGGGACCACTACAGTCTGCACCATATTTATTTCATGATTTCTAATGTGCACTTTAACCTTTAAGCTACTATATTTTGATACTTAAGGTGGTATGATTTGAAGGTTATTTGGTTTAGCTTATCGTTATGGAGTAAATGTTGACTGAACAATGTAATGGCTATAGAATAATGACACAATCAACATTTACATTGGTTCCCTATAACCCCTGCTTTCTGTCTGCCAGTGGGTGCAAAATCTCCCAGTGAAATGGTCACTGGTCTGTCACCCACAGGTTGTCACATGGCTCTAGCATGATTTTCACCACCTGTATTCCCTAATAAGGCTATTACATATCTTTCACATACATGTGTGCAAAGTCCATTGGGTACCTAAACCTAAACTTCATCTCATGCCTTAACTAACTCACGTTGAGGATCCTCCTTGAATTTTGTCGTATTAAAGGTGCTGCATACCATCTGTCCCTGGGACTCTAAGGCGCTTCAAACCCTTGAATGTTTACATCCTTGTACACTACTATCAATAAGAGGCCTGCTATAACCTTGGTTACTACAGCTACTGATGGGAATGGAGCAGCTGCACACTAATGAGGCTAGAGATAAACAATGGGCTGTGGTGATAGACTTAAGGAAGAATAGACTTAATGGATAAAAATTCCCTCACAACCCCATCTAGATGTTCAAAGGATTTTTCCTGGTGGTTCTGATGGCCAGTCTGTACAGTGGCCCAGAAGGGTCAACACTTTACAAAAGCCACAGCACAAATACATAGCAAGAACATGAACGCAAATTAAGCCACAATGCGAATGTAAAAGTCACAACATGAATACAAAAGATAATGATTGCTTCTGTCCAATGAATGCACTGAATGTGCTTTCTCATTTCTAGGAAAGTATAAAGAAAAAAAAATCACACAGCTGGTATTGCTGGTGGTTTGCAAGTTATCCAGCTACAAGTCAAGTGGATGTAATGCCACTCTCCATTGTGCTATTTAAAGTCAATGCCTCCTGGAAATCTGGGCTGGATGTGATAGCTGAATTACAAAGGCTCCCATGTGTAATACTCCTATAGGCTGTACTCTCATCTTGAGTTCTATATTGGCAAATTTAATCGTAGAGTGTTGTTTCTTTAAATTTATTTTCACGTTTTACCTGATATAAAATGCAAACACTCACTTTGAGTCCCAGCACCAATAAAACAAAACATGTCCTAGTATTTTTTGTGAGCGTGTCAGGGATCTGAATGATAAAGTTCATCTGCTCTGAAGTCCGTCATGCAGAAAAATGAAAATGACAGCAGAGTGGCAGGACAGGCACAGCAGTAAAAAAACACAGGGTGAAAATCCTCCATCATGACCGTGAAATAAGAGAGCACTGAGTGCCAAGGTCACTTACCACTCACTCTACAGCTTTTGGCTCCACAATATTCCTCGGACCATTCAGGACCAATTCAGTAGCATCTGAAGCAGCACAATCTATCAGACAAACTGTGGACTCAGCAGGAAGAGCGTCCATTTCTCATGGAGTCATTCAGAGTACTGGGGTGATTTAGGATCAACCACAGTGCCTGCTGATGCAGTGCAAGCCAACTGATGACATTATTTTAGGATGCCTCTTAATCACAAGGTCCAGAGAAAGAAGAATGCATTAACGCATTTATCCTGTAACAAACAAATAAATCACCAAAGCACAGATGTAAATGATGTCAGAGATTATTCTGAATGCCAAAACCTTTGATGTCTTTTACAGATTTTGGATTCATTTTCAAGAGACAAGCTTATAATTGTTGTTTTTGCAGCAAATATATACAGGAATACCCACTTCAGTTTTAAGGGACTGACACAAAAACCACATTGAAGCTGTGCTGAAAACATCTGAACATACTAATTTTTGCTTTCTAAATACACAAAAAAGCACTCAAAGAGGAACTACATCAATACTTTTAAATGGCATAAGATATTCATCCTTGAAAACCATTTGGCTTAAAAGCATATTTACCATCACTTTTCAAGTGGCTTTTAGGGCATAACCAGTAATAGTTCTGTGGGTATATAAGACCTCTGTGAACTGTAGAACATGGGGATCATTTGACAGATGCTGGGTCTGTGACAGTGACCTTCTTGCTATTGGCTGCCTGTCAGGTTGTTGATATAGGGACTTGAGGTCATTCTACTCTTGACCTCACTAGAAATTTCAATAATGAATAGCACCATTAAAATGAATTGTGTGAGCTGGCAGATTTGACATTTGGGCTTCCATTTCACATTTTGTCTACAACATTTTACATTCTTTCTACAACAGCATGTAACTGGACCAATTCACTAAGATATAATATGTAATAATAATAATATGAAAGGCTGATGATTTTCACTGAGAGCAGTGAGCTGTAAAACAACTGATCTGAGCACAAATTTTGTTTTAAACTGTAATGCACACACATGCCATGACAATATCTCTAAGGAATGAAAAGCCCATTGATCAATGCACCAACATGGCCCTCTGTTACTGTAACATGTCGAGAAACTAATTTAATGCTGCAGTTAAAGATTATTTTCATTGATTAAGTTTATATTTGCACTGCTATACTGGTTATAATCAGGTTTTTGGAGTATCGTGGTTTATGTGTTGCACATGTTTTTACACCATATCCTGGTTTAAGGAACCTAGAAAATACAATATCACAGTTTTTTTTTTAAAGTATATGTTTTTGGGCTTTTTATGCCTTTATTTGATAGCACAGTAGAGAGAGACAGGAAATGGGGAGGCAGAGAGAGGGGGAATGACATGCAGCAAAGGACCATCCGATGCGGGACTCGAACCGGGGATGACTGCAGCGAGGACTGTAGCCTCTACATATGGGGAGCCTGCTTAACCCACTGCGCCACTCGACGCCCCGATATCACAGTTTTGAGAGACCTGCAAATGCTAGGTGGGGTAATTCAATGGAAACCATCCTGTAGCATGTAACTACCTTGTCCATATTTCCGAACATTCTTTATTGGTGATGTTGGCTGAGATGTTGCACGCAGATGATCAGAGACCTGGATACTGTTAGAATTATGTATACAGAGATAAGAGTAAGTGGTGATTTTGTCAGTAAAACAATTGATCATTTAATCGGTAGATTGTCGGGAAAGAGGTGACAATGGCCCTCATCATTTCAAAAAGAGATACACATAAATATTAGTCACAATTTGTGATCCAAATGTAAAAGGCAAATAGTCACCCTCTGGAAAATCTAAAGCTAAGATTGAAATCTGATATCTCTGTTTTTTAACAGGTATTTTTTATTTAATCCTGTATTGTACTGATGTTTTCCCGTAGATATTCTAGATACAGAAGGTCGTGAAAAGTGAGAGACACAATTGTTTTGCTTGCATTGTGCTTGATTGCAAATAACAGATGTGAATTATTTTCTGGTTGAAGACCATAAAAAGTATTTCCTTAAGCAAACCGCAACCACCAAACCAGAAATTTGATAAAACTAATGACCAGAGATGACAAATCATGTTGAAACAGTGGGTTTGTCTGTGGAGTCCTCCCCTCACAGGTTTATTTAGGCCTAGCAGTGTGGACCCCAGCCCATAATCCTCCTGCAGACACACCTGCAGAGGAGAGTATAAAAACCCTGGACTGCACTGAGTCAAACATCAAGCCTCAAACAGTCTCTCCACACAAGCTCCACAGCCTCTGGACTGACCCTGAAGATGACTCCCTCTGCCAGCCTGCTGCTGCTGCTCCTGCTCGGCCTCTCTCAGGCTCATCCTCTCCAGGAGGAAGGAAGCGCAGATGAAGTCCCAGACACCATGGACATCACCACCAGGATTCTGACTTCTAACAACGCCACCAATGAGATCCTGCTGGAAGGAGACCTGCTAGCTCCCAGAACCAGAAATGCCATGACGTGCTGGTCCCAGAGTTGCCTGTGGAGGAAAGCCTCCAACGGCTTGGTGATGATCCCCTTCACCATAAGCGGTGAGTTCACCAGCTGGGGGAAGCAGAAGATCGACGTGGCCATGAAGTCCTACCAGAGCAGGACCTGCATCCGCTTCGTCCCCCGTCAGAACGAGTACGACTACATCAGCGTCGAGAACAGAGCCGGATGTTTCTCGGCTCTTGGCAGAGAGGGAGGCAGACAGGTGCTCTCTCTCAACAGGCAGGGCTGCCTCTACCACGGCATCATCCAGCACGAGATCAACCACGCTCTGGG